TACAACTGAGCAAAATGGAACTTGTCCATGAACTCAGTTTCAATAAGGATCATTCTTCAAACGGGTATAGTACTGCAAAGTTGGTGATTCTTGGTAGGATCATAGAGGTGCGCGACTGTTATAGATTTAAGGACTTGTCTCGCTTTCGTCAAGCCGTTTTAATTTGTTCACTTATAAATTGTAGTATGCACTTATTTCTAAAAATTAGTATCTCCTTCATCTTGCAATTTCGTCCATTTACACAATGGACGCATTGTGTACCTCAATAAGTACAGCTGACACGGTTAATGGCTGAATCAACTGTCCTAGGAGTGGAATTAATTTCTTATGTCCTACTCGTTTTACCATTAGAACGGAATCATCAAAATGTACACTCTCCAGAGAAATAGCACATTGCATATGCTGCTGTCATCCTTCTCTTCCACGACCGCTTTGGGTCGCACAGGCACATGCGTCAGACAAAACGTCCAACGTTTTTAATCCTCTGCCAGAGTCTGAGCTTCGGCAGAAGACAGCTGGGATCTGGAGCAGACTCCTTCCAATATTTGCACTAGGTTAATCTTGGCCGTCCCCTGGGTCTTCTGCCTGACGAATTTGCAAGGAACAGTTGCTTAGCCTTCCTTTCTGGAGGGTATTCGCAACACATGCCCAAGCTGTGACTTCTCAATCTGGAGAGGCAAAGGCTGTACACCAAGGCTCTTCTGGATGTCAGTATTCCGGATCATGTCGAGACGCGCTAGGCAAGCGACTCGTCTAACAAAGCCCATTTCAGTAGCTATCACACGGTTTCAAGCTTTACAGTTATGGTCTACGACGCATGACCGTAGGTAAGCATGGAGATAAAGATCGACTTGAACAGCGAGAGCTTAGTTTTCAGACTGAGCTCTGCTTTGGGTCAGGTTTTTCCCGCAGAATGCCACTGGCTACTCCAATTCGCCGGTCGATCTCTTCCTCCAATTTTCCACCACTAGTAAATACAATTCCAAGGTACTTGAACTTCTCCAACTGTTCCACTGCCTCTCCGTTAATCTGAAGAGAGCAACGGGCAGGAGAACGAGAAAGCACTAGGCTTTTCGTTTAAGATGTGTTCAGACGCATGCCGGTCACGTCGCACTCGGCTGCGAACCTTTCTAGGGAGCACTGTAGATCACTTTTAGAAGATGCTAATAAAACAAGGACGTCTGCAAACAGCAACCTTCTCGACTTCACATCTCCTACACCGATACATTCATCGCTTTGGCTGCTTCTGACTATTCTATGCAGAAGAGAGGACAGTACGCAGCCATATAGCAGACCAGTGCGAAAATTGAAAGGCTTCCATTTAATGCCATTTACTTTGACGCAGCACCTGATCATAGAAGCTGGTCATTTATCCTGTATGCTCCCAGGTATACCGATAGATTGCTCAGCGGAATCCGGCCAAAAGCATACTCTAGCTCCACAAAGCACTTATAAACCGCATGGACAATTCCAACGATTTCTCATATGTAGCGTGGGGCAAGTATAAAGTCAGAAATGCTCGACTGGGTCAAAAGTCACACTGCTCTTCTTTTATCTTGGAGTCAGTTATCTCACGACACCTTCTTTCTGGTAGCTTTGTGTTGACCTTAACTGGAAAACTCGATAAGGTGATGCCCTAATAATTGATGCACTAACTATGGCATCCCTTCTTGAGCATGGGTACAGCTTCTCCAGTCCGCTGGTGTCTTCCTTGAAGCCATTGCAGCTTGAGAGACATGAGCAATCCAGCATATTCCTTTTCCCCTATTCTTTGAGCATTTCGGGACGTATTTCATTAATTCCAGAAGGTTGAAACTTTTCTACCTTTTCACAGTTTGAACGAGTTAATATACAGGAATAATGAGATCCTTCCTGTGCTGTTTAACAGGCGAGCCTTCCTGCGTTGGACAGGGCTGAGGAGTTCTTCAAAGCGCTCTGTACTTGACAACAATGATAAGAGGATGTCCAGCATGTCTTTCAAGACTCTTAAACCGCTCTTCTTTTCACCTCACAGCGGCAGATGGACTGCCACAATACCTTGTTTGCCGTGTGGAAATTCGACTCCAACACTTCACCGAAATTCTCTCAAGATCAGCGTTGGCTTTCTCCATTCGTACTGCTGCCATCTTGCGTGCCTATTCATACCACATTCGAATTGAAGGTTATTGGCTTCCAAGTCATCTCCTGAATGCAGCTCTTTAACTGCTAGTTGGATCTCTCGGTGTCCTCCAGGAAGTTCTTTTTTGTCCTAGAGGCAGCAGGCTACCCGTTGAAATCCGCAACATTCGGCGGTAGCCTCGAGTATGCCGCTATTAGAGCATCCACTCAGTTTCCACATCAGCATTTATCACCGGGATCTGTTCAAACCATCCTGCGATGATGCTTGCAAATTTGGTCTCGCGTCCTCCGAAGCTGGTACTTTCCATCTGATTCTCTGGTTCCTTCTGCCACCAGATTTTCCTATGGTACTCCACTACTTGCAGTGTAACATGCCAACGACAGGGTGGTGATTGACTGATTGTTCTGCGCTTCTCATAGCGTAAACATCCATTACAAGGCATCGTACATCAGATGGTGTGATTATCAAATCGATCATCGACTTCTGTGCACACGCTTCTTTATACCAGGTACACTGCACGCTTCGATGATCGAGGAAATTGTTCATAATGGACAATCCGTTGCTTGCCCAAAAGCGCAGCAACTTCATGTCGTTAATGTCGAAGCCATTGTTCCAATCGCGGAATTACATTTTTCAATGTCTGCTCTGATATAGGTATTAAAATCACCCATTAGAATGAGGGACTTCGTTTTCGGGACTTCCTGTGGAGCACCTGTTTCCTCATGGAAAGATTCATATTCTTCCTCCTTATTGGGCGCATAGACCTGCACCGACAGGACGCTTTAGTCTGTTTTTTTATTAGTAGGATGATTGTTACTGTTCCACTGACAGGCTTCCATTCAACGATTCTGCCGGAATACGAACTCCTGTGCGCGCGTTTTGATGTCTGTACCTGAGTAGAATTGCTTCCATCCGCAGAGGTTGAGGATTCTTGAGCCTTGGCAGTTCGTTGACAAGAGTCCGGCTATGTCTAGTTGGTACGTTTTGCAGTCTCATGAATCTGCTCTTTCTCACTGTGTGAGGATATATTCTAAATTCCGACTGTAAGCCCGCACTCGCGTGTCGTTACCGTAGAGCCGTTTCTGAGGTACTGTCATAACAAATGTGCTGTCTGCCTCCTCCTGTGAGAATGGTGGCGACTCTGTCTGTGATTGGTACATTTGTTGCCGTTCGGTCGATCTTCCGTAGACGTTTTTGTGCTGCTTCGCTCCCAAGAAAAGCGATTAGCAGGTTCTGATGGCGGACTTTTTGCATCTTACTACAATCGCTCAGCAGGCCAATGAGGTCGTTAGCAACCGAGGCAATGATCGAGCTGGTAAAATGTTCGATGACGGCAATACAATGAGGGGATAAATCATAGTTTTGCGGAGAAATCGCCACGGTCTGCTACTCCTCTCTCCTTTCTCGTCTGGGCCTGCTAATCCTCGACGGTGGAGTCATGCGTTATATTTAATAAGCAGTTAAATGACAAATAAATGTAT